AGAGTCATAGATAGGTCATTTTATACAGAATAATTACTTGTCACTGCTAGATATGGATACAAAATTAATGTATCATACTTCTAAGGTCAGTAGAAGAACTGCATTTACAATTAAGCCAAATAAAAACAAAGCTCAAGGCAAGTCAAGACAAGTATAGACAAAGCATGTCTTACAAGCCTCAGTCCCAAGTCCTTGCAAACTCAGTACAAAATCTGTGGCTTTTTAGTAGCAATGGCAATACTGTATTTAGTGGGATACAGCTCTATAGGTTCCTCTTTTCATGCATTCAAAGCCTGAAAAACTAACCATAAGGAAGTTTAACAGAAGCATTTCCATCTACCTGGAGGTGCCCCAGCAAGTCTGGGCCTTGTGTTAATGAGTGGCCAACTTGTGGATTTTGGGCAGGACCACCATAGGCTTTGTCATATGACCAATAAAAAATGGTGCTGACACTATTGGTCCTGGATAATCTTAATCCTCACAAGTAAACCAGGAGCACTCCAAAACAGCACCAGGAGCAACCACAGCATGTTGAAAAATAAGAGTGACGGGCAACCTGAAAAACTGTTCACTTCCCCTCTGAACTCCTTCCTTAACCATCTCGTCTTTCAGTTCTCTGCAATGTGCAAGATATGTGTTGTGGCTCTGGGCCAAAAGGAAGGTTTGTTACATTTCACATCAGTTCAGAGAAGTTATTGTGCTACCAAGTGCTCTTTTGGTTTGGCCTGCACTGCGTTAACATATAGAAGGTTATCACCTTTTAGTTTTCTTTTTACAAGATCTGTAGGTATTTACATCCTTGTTGAGCTCTTGGGACTAGAGATCTTCTTTTCTCATTCTTGGACAATCCCTAGCTCAATACAGCAAAATTTATAAAAATATTAATAACATCAGTTATTATTAATAGCAAAATTCTGTGGCTTAATAAAGGCTCTTAACTTACAGGTTGAGAAAATACTGGGAGCAAAAGAAAATTTTTATATTTTTTTTTTAAATAAGCAAACCCCAACTGAACCCTTTTCAGCAGCTATGCTGATTATGGTCCTGATTTTAAGACTCAAAGGTGAACAGAGTTTGACCACTTGGATCAGACTCTACATTTATAAATTTAAATTACAAGATAAACAGAAATCTTTCTCCATTAGATGACAAAGGGACTAAGAATATAAGGACTTATTAGTTATGTGAAATGAGGCTTGGGGGTTTATTATTCTAATTAGGAACAGAAAAATTCCTATTCCATTTTGTAATTAAAACAATATATATTCTACCATCTAATTATATTTGACATTTTCAAGGTGTTTGGAACTGAAGTCTATAATTACAGAACTACTGCTGCCTTAAGCAGAACATGCCATTAATATTCATTTATTAAATAACCAGTTATACTGTTTAGAAGATTTTTAGAAACATGTGCTCTTTTTTCTTTTTTTTTTTTTTTTTAGGGAATGTTAGACTTTTAGAAGACACATTTTATATTTGTATTTTTAAAAAGACATGAAGAAAAGTTGTGTGGGATCTGACATACTTTATATAACATATTGACTATAAACCTATTCATTAGTACTGTAAGCAGTTACGTTGGGGATTCATAGTCCTTTACAATTATTTCTTTCCTTTTAACAGAATGGGTAATTAAAGTCAGAAATAATATGGGAGTCCTGTAGTGAAGTCATAAGACAGTAAAATGCAATTCTTACAATTCCTTGATTTTGCAATTAGCTATAAAATTATAGCTTACATACAGTAGTTTAAAAAAAAAATGTTATTTGCATCTTTTATGTTACTGTCTCACAATAAAATATCACTTCATATATTGCTTACTGTTGACAGTTCAATATTGTAATTTAAAACAGTGACCTGCCCTTAATCAAAGTAGAGGGGAACTTGTGGCCAATGCAGAGCCTATTGCTCAAGGAGAGACTTTCCTTTTTTCGATATTACAGATATGGAAAAATACACACTGAAGATGAAACTCTGAATGCAAGGTGTTCCATGAGTCTGCCTGCTCTGTGTTTCCATTCTAGAAAATGCAGCCTTGGGCACATCTAGATAAAAGGACATAATTTCTGAAGAGAAGGGCAATGGGCACTTTGCCTTTTTCATCCAAATAAAATAGGTTTGTGTCCTGTTATCAGATGCTTTGCCCCCTTAGACCTGGATCCTGGCTAAGTCATTAGGTACAACTTTCCTATAGTTAATAATAAAAGACATTGCAAATGTTCAAGAGTTAAATGATGTGCAGAAGTGAAGTTGCAATATGTATGAATTCAAATGCTCTGCAGAATTTCAGTGTCCCAACAAGAGTGACAGAGACCCAGTGTGAGCTCCCAGCACGCCTGGGCAGCTTGCAGCATGCCAGCCTTCAGGTCAGGAGGCCCCCTGTCCCAAACTGCTCCTCAGTCTCTGTGCAGTCAGCTGTAGAGGGCACCCAGTTCCACAGCAATCTTCATTATTCAGAGTATGAAGATATTAGGGAAGTCATCTTTCATCCCTGATCATCTGTATAAGGACTAGAAAGAGCCTAGCCCATGGTGATTACTTGTGCATGCTTGCATCAGAGACAATCAGGAACTGCATCCAGCAGGAAGTGAGTAATAGTATATAATGCATCCTGCTAAAGAATTGGACTTCTTCCTGTGATGGGCAGGAAGCAGGACTCAGTTTGGGTACATTGTATACCATTATTCCACACATATTATTTGTCAGATGATATAATATTTATATTGTGTATTCAGAAATAAATTACATATTCTGCATGTTGTGTGCTAGACAAAACATACATGGTTAATATAGTATGTGAGTGTAAATATACATGTATGTTTGGGTTATATATATATATATGTATGTGTATATATATATAAAAACACACACTACCTACTGGAGGAAACTTACTCGATGCCTGGTGTTATTTTTGTAATGCTCATAGCACTTAGTGGTGCCAATGCACCCTCCCTTTCTACAGCATCACAGCCCCTATGCTGTGCAACATTACCATACAATCAACTTGAGCACAGATAACCAGAAAGGCAAAAATTCCTCCATTCTCCACCTTTTGCAGATTTTGCCTTGAACATTTTGAAGATACAACACACTTTCTTCAAATCTGTCCCTCAGCACATCAAAGTTAAGCTGTTTTTCCAAATAAAACCCTTCATATTAAAAAATGTGTCTGTGAAATTTAGCTAGAATCTTCCTCCTTTAACCACCCACGATTACATTTTATGCACAAAAGAGATCTGCAATTTAGAAGTCCAATGTTTAAAAATCTTAAAATGACCAGTTAATACAAGAAACCAGTGTCCCTCTGCCATATATAGAAGGTTTTGTTAAGTTTTCTAACATATAATTATCCAGTTTTACCTCCACTTCTTTATTCCATTGTAGAATAGAATTAATGACATTGATTTTAATCAATCATTTTTGTAAATGTGTACTTGTTGTGGCTTAACCCCAGATGGCAACTAAGCACCACATGGCTGTTCAATCCCACACCCCCAGCCCCAACGGGATGGGGGAGAAAATTGAAAGAGAAATAGTGAAAAAACTCATGGGTTGAGATAAAGACAGGTGAATAGGTAAAGCAAAAGTTACTCACACAAGCAAAGCAAACCCATCAGCAGTGGTTGATTTCTTAGCAACAACTAAAAACATCCGTGTATTATCATCATTGTTCTCATACGAATCCCATACTAAATCCAAAACATAATGCTATTCTAGCTACTAAGAAGAAAATTAGCTCAATCCCAGTCAAAAGCAGGACAGTACTGAAAACTGCAACAATAATGTAATCTAAGTATGGCTGAAATTTTGTGAGGACAATCCCTATTTCTTATGATGTGAGGTGCTTGATGTAAAAGAGGAGTTTTTTCTTAAGAGATGTGATACAGTCTTATTTTTTTGTGATTTTGTCTAAGTGAATCTATTTAAGAGTTGCAAGCTTTTACTTTTCAGCTATTGCTAACAGTGAGGAAAAGTTAACACGATAGGCATCTTAAAAAGAAAAAAAGGAAGCAGATAAGCAGTTCGGAGCACATTATCAATAGGTACCTTCATTGCAGTAGAGACACAGGGAAGGAGTTATTGCATCTCAGTGGAGGAGCAAGCAGTTGTTCTAATGTTGTCTTGTTCAGTGAAGACTCTAGGAAATAAACAAAAAATATTTCTGAGCATGTAGTAAGAGGATAACTGCATGCTGCTGGTCACTTCTGAATGCCCCAATGCCCATGCTGAGGGCAGGCCTGCTCTCGCTGTTCACCTATAAACCAGTGGCTTCAAAATGCTATTCCTTCTCTTGAAAGACTTCCTTCCAAAGGGGCTTACTGGTTGAATCTGTGCTTTCAGGAGCTGGTGGAAAGCTGGGGTGAATTTCTTCCCAGAGAGGCCAATTTTGCTATAAATAAATTACTGGAAGTAATTGCAAATGGTAAAATCACTAAATTGTGAGCCATAGTCATCCTGGTTCTTAACAGATTGAGTCTTGCCAAAGTTCTTTCCTATTTTTATAGAATTACAAAAGGAATGTGTGAAGGCAGAATGCTATATTATCACATTATACGGAAGCACTGGATACTATTTTTTATTAACTGTTACTTTAAAACTTAATGCAAATTAGCTTTGATATAAACACTGTCATATACATGACAGAAAGTTGCTAAAGGACCAGAAAGGGTGATGATGAACGGCACCATTCCAAGGTCCCACATGGGAAACTGCAGTCTTGGTACTTCCTTTCTTTTAAAAACTAAATAAATAATTATAATCAAAGTTTGTCTATTAATGATTGATAGATGAAAAGGCTAAATTATGTGCACTGAAGATCAGATTGGGTGTTTTGACTAGCTTGGTAGAAAACATTGTTATTTGGTATCAACTGAATAGTACCATAACTCTAGAGAATTAATGATTTAATGATGTTAAGATGGATATACTGAGAAGCAATGAGATGTACATAGTGAACATCACGGAGTTTTATTAACAGACCATGTTGTCTGCAAAAGCATTGATCTTCCATTTCCAAAAAGTAATTTTTTCTTTCTTCTCTTCTAGTTGCCCATATTGGCATCATCTGTTGTTAGCCTCTATTTTCTTGAACTTACTGATGTCTTCAAGCCAGTTCACTCTGGATTTAATTGCTATGATAAGAGTCTGAGTATGCCATACATTGAACCTACACAAGAGTCTGTTCCCTTCTTGATGTTGCTTAGTCTGGTTTTTGCTGGACCATCAATTACGGTAAGTTTGAGATGCCACTGTCACTTATTAAAGATTTTTAACAGAGTTTCTGTTGGTATAAAGATAATAGCTCTTTTGGTTTCAGTTATGCTGTCATCCAGGCTAACCACAGAATCACACAATGGTAGGGGTTGGGAGTGACCTCTGGAGACCACCTTGTCCAAATCCCCTGCCAGAGCAAGTTCAATTACCCTAGGATTTTAAACTCATCTTTTATTATTCAATAATAGAAGGAGACACACTGCTTAAAAAATTCCCTGTAGCACTTCATCTACTCACATTATTCTGATTGTGGGCATTGATGTTAAGAAACAGCATCTACATTTGGGTGATAATAGCCTTAATGATTCTGTTATGCTGTGCAAATATTTGAACTTCTACACCCAGGACATCCCCATACACTGAGATAGACCAAAAATTGGAGATTTTGTTGGAAACTGAAGCCTTTCATTTACAGCCCTGAACATGCCACTTTTGTTAGAACTAGCTTTTTCCAGTAAAAAGTTATATCGACTGTGTCAGTAAAATAATTACACTTTCTCAAATAACACTGGGACTCCTCTAAATTGCAAGTTAGTCATTAAAAGCAGGCAAAAGGAGGCTGGTTTAATCATTCACCCAAAGGGAGGTGGTTATTTCAGCAGAGCAGAAATAATGTCCTGTCAGAACATGACCTTTTGGTCGCTATTTTAAGAAAAAAAAAAACACCTAAAAATTGTCTGATACAGGTGAGTATTGTCCCTGTTGGAATTGCTGTGTGAAGTCAAAATTAAATCTGAAGAATTTACCTTTATATGTATACTAGAGGAAATTAATGTAACCTGTGTTCCTACCTAGAAAGTTTGGATCAGTTGATACTTGAGGTCCCTTACAACCTGACATTCAATGATTCTATAATTGTATCTGATTTTAGGCAGCTCAGTCAGGAGCCTTATTCTCACACCACTCCTGTTTGGCAAATGGAGAGAGAAATGCACTTTGAATGGGTGACCATGCTCTCAAAAGGCTGAATCAACCTTCTGAAAGGGTCTCCTCTCTCCTGACATTAATGATCGCACATCTCAGTTAAGCACTTCTCTGAGTTCTGCTGCAAATGTATCTTTGCTGCCAGCTCCTCTGAGTTCCATTAAACTGAACCAGTTCATTCCTCCTATAATACTACCCAATGTGCAATCACCAAATCTATAGAATATGATGCCCACATAAAAAACAAGTGCTGTTCTCTCTTTGCTTTCCAGGATGGTGGTTTTTTGTCTTGGTTTAATCTGAACTCTTTTTACTGTGTTTGATATCAAACACCTTCAACTGAGATGAATATGCATTATGGCCACGTATACTAAGGGCTTTGATTACAGCTGAATCATTTCAGCATTGCATTAAATTTTGCAAAAGAAAATGTTATTCTTGCTTGAATCCTTCTCCTAGCAGCAATACAAACAACTAACCAAAACATGCCATGTGAGGAACTTAAAACCACACATGAGCAGAAGATCAGTAAAAAAAAATAAAAACTGAAGCTTCAAAACTGCTTGAAAGCTGCAAGACTTAGGAAGGTGTAGTTCATTTGTATTAGTGCGAGCATGAATGTGACGCTTGCAGTAATTGGAGAATGGGCTCTGGTAGTGTGAAATACACAACCTCCTTTAATAAAAGGTACTGAGGGTGGTGTAGAATATCAGTTTTTGTATTATGCAGTATCACTTCTGAAATAAAAAACTAGCAGGTTTTTTTTGTCCATTTCTTCCCCTTTTCTTTGGAAAAATACAGCAATGAAGCTCAATGCAAAAAGATTACAATTGTGCCATTATCATCTTGTAGAGTTTGCCATTTTATAATTTACTTTTCATTAATGTTTTCATTAATTACACATTTTGTAAAACCTGTAAAACACAGAAAAGAAAGCATGAGCTATGCGAGGACCAGATGATCTCCAGCTATATAGCATATGCTAGCTTCTGCCTGCAGTTCAGGTCTCAGTAAAATTTCAGGAATCAACAAAATACAGATGTGATTAAGCCACATTTTAAATATTGTCAAAGAGTGTAAATTTAAAAAATAAAAAATAAAAAAAAAGGTAGAGGGAAGAAGACAAGCAAATTCCAGTCCCAATTCCTTCTTTAAGCCTTATATAAATATTAGAATAAGAATTTAATTATTTTATATTATTTTTGGTGATCTACTCAGATTATCCCAAGACTCCAGTTTTTCTAGCAAAGAAAGGAAATTTCAATTTATTAAATGTTTAGCTAAAAAACAGTTAGACTAAGCTTGTCCATAGTATCTGACTTCTACTAAGGTCTTGGCATGCACAAACTTCACTGCTAATTACAGCAGGTGCAGCATAATTCAGATGCTTTAGGACCTCATTGCACTGTAGATTTGTGCATTGCATACATCAGTTTTCAATGTGTCTATGGATACAACATAAATATCTTAGTGGTGAGAACTGCCTCATTAGTTTTAACCTCACCCTTATTCTGAACTCATTACAAGCCCTGAACAGATTTTCAAGTTGTTGCACTATTTAGCAAGGAAAAAAAATCAAAGCTGAGACTGCAAATGTACAAATGTACTGGATTTTCCAGTCAGTAACACAATTTTTCATCTATATTCTTCCCTTTATTTCTGTTATAAACTTCTGTCTAGGGCTTTAGTCATGATCTGTTTTGCTTAGTTGTCAATCCTGAGTCAAACCATCACATTAGTGTGTTCAGAGGGACTATAAGGACAGAATTTTTTCGGCTGCTGTGGATCTGGTTAATACCCAAGCCAAATTAAAACAACAACAAGAAAAAAAAAAAAAACAAACAACCCACGGAAGACCAGGCTTCCACATAATTAGAAGCTGCTAGGGATTGCAAGGCTTGAGGCCAAGACTGAGTGGTAAAACTGTCTCAGGAGCACTAAGATATTGCAGAGGCTCAGGATTATTTTAGAGGCAAGACTTACATTTTTCTTGTAGAAGCATCAAATTTCAGCTGATCAAGACCCTGATTCCACTGAGCACAATTTACTCTATACCACTTGCCCTTGATTTCAGTGCCGTTTTGCCTGCTCTCACTTAGGCTAAGTTGTATTACTCAATGTCTAAATGATACAAATCTTTTGAAGGCAAATACATCAGTGGATGACACTGGCTGTGGTATTGTTATATTTCAGCCCTTTAAAGTCAATCAGTGTTTTCTGAGTAATTGCTATGTGTAATTTAATGGGTCCTTTCTCATTGCAGATAATGATAGGAGAAGGAATTCTCTACTGTTGCCTGTCCAAAAGAAGAAATGGGATTGGAACTGAGGCCAATATTAATGCAGGAGGATGCAACTTCAATTCTTTTCTTAGAAGAGCTGTCAGATTTGTTGGTGGGTTTCAAATATTAGTCACAAAGAAGAACTGTCCATGTACATTTATTTTTCAACATGCAGGTTTCCTTCTCTGAAGCAGCCTTTCAGAGCAGTGCAGGGTTGTCACTGGCATAGATCTTCTGCCAGAAAATGTGAGAAGAAGCTGTAAAATGGAGTGACAGAGCAGCTCCATACTCAGTAATGCAGCACCTAAGCTCCCTGTTTTCCATTTCCTCTCCTGTACTATTGTCAGTGTTTCTAAAAGAATAATTTGTTTTTCTTTCTCTGCCCACCTTGAGCTGGCTTCCTTATAATGGTTTAGTGTATACTGTCTTCTGCCTGTCACCATGAGGATTCAACCCACCTGACACAGTATCCAACATGACAGTAAAAACTGGTCAGAAACTGTCAGTAGATTTGACGTTCTTTTTCTGGGATGTGTTTAGCTACCTCTTGAGAAAGGGCTAGAATCTGGCAACCTAATGATAGAGATTACGTGTTGAATTGTTTTAATTATCATTTGTGAAAGCTGAAACTGAAAAGGCAACTGGACTTCATTCCCCTTCTTACAGTTAGTTTTTCCTCTGTTCCGGAAATATTTTCATTGGAGAGGGCAACCTTGGCAAAGACAACCTGCAGGAAAGCAGACTAGAAACATGATAGGAGGACTATACACTAGGTTTATATAGTCTGGAAAGCAGGGAGGTAATGACAGGGGAGGTTCTACAGTCTGTGATGCTTAATAGCAGCAGTGACAAAATGAGCAGAGGGGATGGTAGATTACAACATCATCAAGGATGTATAAAAATACTCTGTGCTCTCTGCTTCTCATGTATGGCATCCCATTCCACCACCAAAAAACACAAGCCCAAAGATTCATTAATTTAATTCTTGATTGATATTCTGAATTTGCAGTTTCTTTCACATTTTAATGACCTTCTTTCTGTGAAACAACTGCATTTACTTAAAATGCCTTGCGAATTTTCATTATTAACCAGACAGAAACATTGATTAGTTACCAAAAAGGCTTAAATATTTGGACTCATTGAGTCCAAAGATTTGGTGCTCAAGAAATAACAGAGGTGTGAGGGTAGCCAAAGTTATTGCCAGGTGATGAGTCCCTTGTGGTAAAAAGAGAATAGGTCCTCATACCAGTGATCTAATGGGCAGCTCCTCCTCATAGACTCATAGAATGTTTTGAGTTGGAAGGGTCTCTAAAGATCATCTAGCTCCAACCCCCCTGCATGGGCAGGGACACCTCCCACTAGATCAGGTTGCTCAGAGCCCCATCTAACCTGCCCTTGAACACTTCTATGAAAAGGTGTAGGAAGACATCAAGTCATCAAAATTAAATGTTAGGTATCAAGAGGAAGGAAACAAGTATAAATTATCTTAATTTTTTACATTAAAGAATTCACATTTGCAATAATATTTAATTTAAAAAATGCATCTTATTCTCCAGTGAAATTATTTCAAGTCCAGTGACACAAACCACCAGAATTCCATTGAATGTATTTTTAACAATTAATTAATCTAATTTAATAATACAGTTAACAAGTCTAATTATTTTTTTTCTAGGTGTTCATGTGTTTGGCCTTTGTTCTACTGCTCTTGTTACTGATATTATACAACTATCAACAGGATATCAGGCACCATATTTCCTGACTGTTTGCAAGCCAAACTATACATCCTTAAATGTATCCTGCTCAGAGAATTCATATGTTGTGGAAGATATTTGCTCAGGATCTGATCTCAGTATTATCAATGCTGGAAGGTTGGTTCTATCCTTCATTGTGTACATTTTTAAGTATTAATATTTTTTTATCTTCTGTCCTAGTTTCATGATTTTTTCCTAATCTGAAAATCTGTATGGGTTTTGTCCATTTTTTATAACAAAGGTGGGAGGATAAGTGTCTGTAGGGATGTTCAGTTTTCTTTATAAAGATATTAGGCCAGTTGTGGGCTTTGTCAGATTCCAAAGCACAGTTGTTAGTAGCTAGTTATTTTCCCTCCTTCAAAGGAGACAATTCCCTATACAATTATTAACATGTATAGCTTCTACTGCTTTTCCCAGTGGGATCTTGCTAAGTTACTCATAACAGCCAGGGGAAGAAGTCACCCAAGTACTTTATCTGAGACCTCTGTAGAACATAGATTATTCTTCTGGCATTTTGGTTTTAGTTTGTGAGGCCTAGTTTTGGAATTTGTTTCTCTTTCTCTAGTTAAGATTTTACTATTGACAGGATTGACAAAATTCTTTTATTAGAAGAAAGACAACAGTGCAAATCTTTGTGTTCCCAAACATATGACCTTTTCCTTCATGGTATTTCTCACTGGTGGTTTATCCTTCTTGATAATTTAGTCTTTAGTCTCCCTACTTATCCAGCTAGAAGAGAAATTAATGTTGCTTATAATAGCAGGTTTCACACATGCGTATTGGTCAAGTTGAGATGTAAAACAGACTATGTATCTTATTTTAAACAAGCTCAACATGATAAAATTATGCTAACTCAGTTACTGATGATAGGTCATAGATTTAAACAAGGAATCCGAAAGTGTAAGTCAGTAAGTTGCAGTGTTATCTGCTACTTTTTAGTTCAAAGACTTCATCAGTATGAAACATCTTAAATATAAGCACTGAGAAATCATGAAGTTCTTCACTGAACACAATAGTTGTCTTCCATATCTTTTCCACAGAAGGTTAACTTTTATGGCCTGTTAGTTATTGAATGTTTGAATGTTTTGCAGTCCTTCAAAATATTGGTGCTTTTTAAAAATATTTTGCTCTCCGAAAAAGTTACAGCAGGATTATAGAATATTTGAAATTCCTGTTTTTGACTCAGCTGCATAATTTCTGTGTACCTAATTAGTAGACATGAAGCTGTGTTACTTCTGACACATCCACTTCACTGAAGCTTTGCACTCATTTCTTGTTCTGCATCAGCCCCAGTTGCTATCTTCTGTTTTAACTTTATGCCTCAAGGGATTACATTTTTGTCACATGGATATTATTAAAATATTCTGTATATATATTAAGGCACCTCTCCCCCAGTTTATTTACTATTCCATTTACTTCAATAGTTGACACACTTGGGAATCATGAAATCATTAACTTTGTAAGTTTCTTCCACCAAAACTTGCAGTCTGTCTCCTCTCACTGGGACAAACCAATTTCACTAATGTTTAAAGACCCACCATAATTTTATGTAGTCTGTCTTAAATACATCTGGTGAGCTAAGACTCATAATTGACATTGATTAATCTGACATAGCTTTTCAATTTATACATGTGGGAATGATCCAGAGCTGGAATGAAGAATTATGGCTGTATTCAGCCCAAATAATTTGGTGAAAAACAATCAGAATTACTGTATCAGCCCTCACTTCACTATCTCTTTTCCCATAGCCATTTGCTGTTACTGGGATACTGCCACTGAAGCCTTATGCTTGCAAGCAGTGTGCCTTGCACCTACATGGTGTCCCAGGGAAATCAGTGTAGCTTTACATGTGAGCAGGCAGAAAAATTTTCATCATTACATTTAATTCACTTCATTATCATCTCAAATATGATGCTTACTTCTCTGAATTGACTGCCTGCAGCCATTTAAAAAATGCTGATCCCTCCTGCATTTAAATATCATCACTTCTGAAAACAAATAAATATAGTTGTAACATATTAAGACTAAGGCATGGGGTTTTTGTGTTTGTTTCTTTAGGAAGATGACCATATATTGATACCTTAAATTTATTCCCATCACAGATTATACATTTGGTGATCTATGATATTCTGGCACCACCCTCTTTTACTCCTTAATTAAAATTTCTTGTATTTTTCCTTTATTAAATTGTTGCTTCCTTATGCCTATCTCAACCTTACCAAAGAATTCAGCCCTTGCTGCTTGTTCAATACTTTCTTCAGTCTACTATAGGAGTTCTGGTATAACTCCTTCATCCTGGAAGGTTAATTTGACTTCAGTAATTTCAGCTTGTAAGGGACCTGTTCTTCTGAAATTGCTAATGGCCTTCATTTTTTATTTGTACTTCCCAGAAACTTTGGCTGTAGAAATTTGCCTCTAGCCTTCCCCAAGAAAAATATAGAGAGGAACACCTAATTATCCAGCTGATTGTATGAAATAATTTTCTGCAACATCCCCAAATATCCAGAGGTTTCTCTGTCCATCTTTTCCTCTATTTATCTTCAAAGACACTTTTCAGTCATTTCTATTCAGGTCTCCAGTGAGTTCTTTATCCTCTGTCATTTCTGGTGTTCTGACTCAGTATGACTCTCTCGCTCAGTATGACTCTTTCTCTTCATTGTTTCCCCTCTACACGTCCTCATTCATGAGCATTTAGAGTGATAACACTGTCATCTGAGTTTAGGACATGTTTTCTTTGAGATCTTTTTTCACCTTTTCAATACAGAGCCATACAAAAAAGGCTACATATTTTTAGCCTGAATTATTTTCATTTTAGATTAAAAGATAACAAATAGAGGATAAAAAACAGTGTCACCATTAAAGAGTAACCAGAGTGCATTTACTCTGTAACATGCTGTGCCTACACTGAAAGTGTATGAATAGAAAATATAATAAAGATAAAATTGACTGAAGCACAGTGACACCTTATATACTGTAACAATGCCATCAAATTAATATTAAGTTCTGAGTGGTACTAAAGTTCACAGAATCAAATCTACTCAGTAGCTCCACAGAGACTCTAAGTAGATTTCTGCTTCCACTAAAACCTGCACAGAGCGAAGGAGTTGATTAGCCATTAGAAAAAATTCTATTTTTCTCATGTCTTTATTCTCCTGTCCTCAATCCTGAACTTTTTCCCAAGGGATACTATTTGTGAAAGGTTTGTTCAGGTGTGGAGGAGGGGAAGAAAAAAAAAAGAATTTAGGTCTGTCTTTAGAAATGAAAAAGGAATCATGCTGATTTCATGTTGGCTAGGGTCTGGAGCCATGGGCTCAAATTCAGGTCAGCAGTGTGGTATTCACACTGAACTACATGCACACGTTTGATTGCCAACAAATTATTTAGAACAGAGAAAGCAAAATGCATAGGAAAGAAATTTAGAAAGTAGACTTTCCTGCTTGGGAGAAAAATGTCTTTGTCTAAAGATAAAGGACAGTGTTTCAGTCTTTGCAATTTTTTACTAGCTAACTCAGGTGCTGCTAGAAAAATAGCTATATATGGAAAGCCCAGTTAGGGTAGCAAGACCCATCTGCAAAGCTGAATGATTGTTCAACTGCTTATCCCAAGCTGAGTTTTCTCAGGTGAGAGTGGCTGCAGTGGCTGCAAGATAGACATAGGCTTCTTCAGCAAGACAGCCAGCACATTACATTTCATGTCCATGCCATTTGAAGGACATAAATGTACAGATATAAACTGCTATGCTTCTTCACTGCATCTTGCTCACTTCTAGAACTCAGAGGTCATGAAAGTTTTTTAGGACTTCTGCAAGCTATGAACTAGATGTCTGCCATAGAAGAGGTGTTACTCACTCCTCCTCCAGCTAAGATTTCCCCTCTACTGTGTAACATCTCTCCTTCATGTTCCCATCACTTTTATTGGTTTTAGAGGATTGAAATGGGTGTATGAAAATAATAAAGGTAAAATGTTAGACAGCCTCGTGTGAAGGTCCTGTCTAGCTGCTACTTGTACAAAACCTCCTTTTCTTTATCAGAGAAGTAGAAGCTAAGCTGTTGCTTTTCCTTTTCATATCTGTAGTTTCAGACTCAAGACCCAGTCCACATCATGCAAGTCCCCAGTTTTTCAATGCGAACAGAAGGCCCTCAGCAATTTCAAGAGCAGGCCTCATACTGCCTACTGTCTCACACAGCTCAGATGTGTTTTAATTTACCCTGTTGTTTTGGGCTTTGGAAAGGGCCCAATAACTCTTAAAATGTCCTCTCAGTGTTGGTGTGCGCTGTTCACTCCTACCATGTTATAAAGCGCAGAAATTTAAAAAATAAACCTGAATACATAGCAAAGAAAGGTGCAGTTTACTTCTCTCTGAGAAGAATGTCATCCTGTCATTCCCCCATCACTAGAGCAAGAAAGCAGGAGCATGAAGATGATTAATTCGGTTGCAAAAGTTACAACCTGAATATCAAAGAGTATGAGTTCTTACTTTGAAAAGAGTCCAAGTGAAGTCAGTGAGAATAATCATTAGATTAAGGTTCATGCATTAAGTCGTAAAATTAGGTACTTACTGAAAAGTTAGTATGGAAATTTCTTTATAGAAATAAACATATTTCCCCCAATCAAGCATTCAGTCTTTAGTTTTTTCCCACTGTTCTCTTAGTACACACACTTTTCTTAGTACACAAAATTTTTTATGCTAAATATCTCCTTCAAAAGAATGGTGTTTTATTAACACTGATGCTTTCTCTAGATTACAGAAAAAAATAATTTAGAAATTAAATATTAGTGATTGATCATGTATTGCTTAGGAAGTGTAAGCTGAAAATGACTGTCCCACCCAGTGTTTTTTTTCAAGTGACCTCTAGCACAGTGTATTTAAACTGAGAAGCATAATTTGAGTGTCCTTCCTTGGCAGAAAGTCATTCCCGTCTCAACACGCCACCTTGGCAGCCTTTGCAGCAGTGTACATTTCGGTGAGTAACTCATTTTCATTTGCATGAGACAGAAGGCAGAAAATAATTTGCTGTATATTGTGAAGTGATATGTTGCCTGGATATCCTAGATGGATGTAAGATTTTATCCTCCCAGTCTGAAAGCAAAATATAACTACTAACCACTAAAATGAAACTAGCTCTATTATGCAGAAAGGTTCAATTGCTTCACATCCTTTGTTAAGAATTCACATGTAAAATGCAGTGCTTATCTGTCTTACAGGGTGATATTTTAACTTACCATTCAAATTAACCTTTATGTGTTCTGCCTTTTCTTTATTGCTGTCTTCACTTGACTTGCTGCTTTTAAACCTGAGGCACTAAGGAACAAACATTGATGTGATGTAGTTTCATTTGACCTCCATAGAATTGCAGCATGGATGAACAGGCACAATCACTCCCAGGGGCCTCCAAGGTGCTACTGCAAAGCAAGTGAATAAAAAACACAAGTAAATAGCAGAGAATTGTAGGACATGCTGCAGCAATCACAGCTGATTTTCCACTTCTGAACAATGAGATTTCATCAGTATGGCTACATTTGTATGAGTGACCACTTGAAGTTTAAAAAAAAAAAAAAAAGTAATTCTATCCCATATGTTATAAAAATCAAAGCTAAACAGTAACAACCAGTTAATCAAATCAGATAATGGAATTGTGCATGTACTGGGAGCTTGCCAGTATTTATTCTGCCCAGGAAAAGGCCAAAATTTGGAATAATACTGATGAACCTCTCCCATTTCAATTTTGTGACCTCCCCTCATTGAGAAATGGCTCTCTAAAGCATCTAGTGGTAGCTTTTGTTAGAACAGGTTATTGCATTCATCTGGCATCACATCTGGCTTCTGTGTTTCAGAAGAGGTGGCTTCTTAGTCACATTTACAGAACACTTGGGCTGTAACTGAACAGTATTTAGGCATAAACTCCTTATCCTAATTTATGTCATTAAGCAACACTTGTGTATGTTTTGGACATATATTCCTTGTGATTTCAGATCTTCCTACAGTAAGTGAGCAAGTTTTAACAGGGCTGTAAAATAAAATTAAACGGACAGTTTGCAGTATAATAGTGATCTGTGTGTGAATGAAACATTGAATGCAAGAAATTAGTATCCTCTTAGGTAAAGACTTCTTCAACTGCTTCTTCATTTCTTTCTTTTTTCAAGATGTACTTCAATTCTACGTTAACAGACTCCTCAAAACTTCTGAAACCACTCTTGGTCTTTGCTTTTATCATCTGTGGAATTATATGTGGTCTGACTCGTATCACCCAGTATAAGAATCACCCAGTTGATGTTTACTGTGGCTTTCTCATAGGAGGAGGAATTGCTCTTTATTTGGTAAATATGATATTATCAGTTAAGTTTGAGCAAATACAACTGATAAGACTAATAGGAGTAATGGTATTTTTTATGAGAACCTTTCATCATGGTCACATACTATAACTAAAAATTCAGTTAAAATGTGCTGGATGATTTAGTGGTAATCACTTCTTAAATAAATAGGAAAATAAATATGTATTTCAATTTCAAGTGCTGTAACAGCACAGAAAGTGGTTTATAACCGTCTGGCATTGTATACAGAAGCAGGTCAAACATGATGTGCTTCATTAAATACTTAAATATACTCATCTTTTCTTCTCCATGCTTAAAAGCATAACACAAGGAAAGTATTGGATTGTTATTTTTTGCCAGCCTGAGCTTATATCACCAATGTTAGCTTTATAATCTCAAAAAATGGTTGTATTAATATGCAGCAACTCAGCTGAGTAAATTGCTGAACCTGCAAGAAATGAAACGCAGTATTACACCCTTGTGATTCTTTAGAGCTCTTGGGGAAATTGTACAGGGGAAATAGGATGCCCAAGCCAGGTTATTCTTATGCTTTTCCTCTGGGAATATGCAGGACAGGCTTGTCTGTATCTGTCTATAGGAAGCTCACCAAGCATTGGCTTTTGCTTGCTGTTCTCAGTATGTCTCCAACATGACTGTTGCTTCCCTAGCTGTTCAGTTCAGTGTCAACCCAGGCACTTGTGAGCAATCAGGAACTAGTGCTGACAACATTATTCCTCCAGTGTGGGCAGGTAAACAGAAAAGTCTAAACAGCCAGTGGGATGATTTTGACACCCCCCAACCTGAAAGGTTTTTTTTGTTTGTTTGTTTTTTATAATACTAAAATAAATTCATATCCTATTCTCCTTTTTTTCTGTGATAAAATAATCTAAGGCACATGCAAATGGTCTACAAAGGTGATCAGGTGAAAGATCAGCTAGGGCAGATAACAGAAATCCCACTAGCTACTGAAGTCAGTTTCTATGATTGTACTGTGAGAAGAAAGGCATTCTGTTGAGAATATTATTTCAAATTATTGAGCTGTTGTACACTTTCATAAATGGAGCTGTTGTTCCCATATTTGAAATCCACAAACAAGTATGCTCCTGATCCGTCTTCTCCATATGCAGTTGCATGACAACATACATCAGAGAGTACATTGTCCTGGATACCCAGTAATCAGTGAATCTGCCCTGAAAACTGCACACCAATAAGAGGAAGAGAGGGGAACTAATACGAAACTACAAATACCTCTGAAAGTAGTGTAAATAACAAGTAACCTAAGTGACTGAGTCAGGCATTTGACCCTTTCATGGAATATTCTCTCTCAGTGGAGTCTTTTTAAAATAACAGCATTTTACAGTGAGTCTGCTGAATAAGAAAATGTATAACTAAGTCTTGTTACAGGTCTGTGAAGCTTGGAAAGCAATTGATTTAAAGCTGGTAAATTGTTTTATCATGTAGATATTGTATTACATGGTTATTATGGAGTAGAAAGGGCAGAATCACAGAACAGAGAACAACTTGAGCTGTAACAAGATTCAGTAAAATAGAGCAGACAGTAGTGTAGCTATAAAATAGCTTTGCTTAGAAAACTGCAAACATTTATTGGTATATTCGTTTAAAAAAAAACATTCTTCAGCTGTATCTGTTGCTTTATAAAATGAAGAAAACTGAAGGAGGCTAAATCTTCTCCTCTACTATTTATTACCCTGAACTATATGCCCTAGTTATCCTACTGAAATTACTTCATATGTGTCTAGGCATCCCAGATTGAGGACATAATTTGGAGTAAGAATATACTGGTGAGGAAAGTGAGCATACTCTGTCAGTTCAGCTGGACTAAATCTATAATTCAATATTAAATGCAGAATAATATAATTAAAGTACCTTAACATGTCTTATTTTTCCCCCATAACTAACTATTGATGCTTCTGTTCAAATATTAGGGTCTGTATGCTGTGGGGAACTTCTTACCAAGTGATGAGAATGTGTTTCACCAGAATTTTCACAGAGAACCTCTAAGGTCTTTGACAGACCTCAGTCAAGATGCCAACAGAATCCTGCCAGGTAAAAATGGTAGCAGCAGTGACGGCATTGTCTCTCACCGTGCAGAAGGTATCCTGAACAGGAACCACAGAGAATCAGGCTCTCTGACCAATATCAAGAGAGCAAATGCTGATGTAGAAATAATAACACCACGAAGCCCAATGGGAAAGGAAAATATGGTTACTTTCAGCAACACTTTGCCAAGAGTCAATACACCATCCTTGGAAGATCCAGCAAGACGAAATGCAACAATACATGCATCAATGGATTCTGCCCGTTCCAAACAGCTGCTTTCCCAGTGGAAGAACAAGAATGAAAGTCGAAAGTTGTCACTGCAAGTAATAGAGACTGAGTCTGGCCAGTCACCACCAAGGGCTATTGAAATGAGGTCAAGCTCAGAACCCTCCAGAGTGGGGGTAAATGGTGATCATCATGGCCCAACTAGCCAATACCTGAAAATTCAGCCTGGCAGTGTACCAGGCTGTAACAACACAGGTCTTTCTGGTGGGCCAAGGGTCTCTATTCAATCACGTCCTGGCTCATCCCAGCTAGTGCATATTCCTGAAGAAACTCAGGAGAATGTGAACACATCACCCAAAAGTAGTTCAGCTAGAGCTAAATGGCTGAAAGCTGCCGAGAAAAGTGTTGCATGTAGAAGCAATAGCCAGCCAAGAATCATGCAAGTAATAGCCATGTCTAAGCAGCAAGGAGTGCTTCAGGGCAGTCCAAAAAGTTCAGATGGAAGCACAGTCACCTGTACAGGAGCCATCAGATATAAAACTTTGACAGACCATGAGCCAAGTAGCATTGTCAGAGTTGAGGCCCATCCAGAAAATAACAGACCTGTAATTCAGATGCCATCAGAAGGTGAAGGAAGTGGGTCATGGAAATGGAAAGGTCCTGAAAAAATCACCCTTCGTCAGACATATGAGCTAAATGATCTTAACAGAGACTCTGAGAGCTGTGACTCCTTAAAAGACAGTTATGGGTCAGGTGACAGGAAAAGGAGCAACATAGATAACAGTGAGCATCACCATCATGGAATCACTACAATAAGAGTCACACCAGTAGAAGGAAGTGAAATTGGCTCAGAGACTCTGTCCATTTCTTCTAGCCGGGACTCAACGCTTCGAAGAAAAGGGAACATCATTTTAATCCCTGAGAGGGGAAGCAGTCCAGAGAACACCAGAAACATCTTCTATAAAGGCACATCTCCCACACGAGCATACAAGGAGTGAGGGGAGACATATCAGCTGGTCCGTACCACCACAAAGTAAACACATCTTAACACAGGTTCGGCTCTCTACGTTTTGAGCTGATACTTACCTTTGATGTGCCAATTTATTGACCAGAAGCCCAACTGTTGTTAAACACTGCTGGTGTGCAACGTGTATGAACCTGTGGAAAGCATGTGGTGGGGGAAAAGCACAATGCCAGCACCTAACTAATGTGAAACATTTTCATGCAGCTTGTTTCTTCAGACTCAAAACGTTTATCTGAGGGTGATGATGTCAATCAAAACAATGGTCTTGAACACAGACACTTTATTTCCTGAATGTGCCAACTTTCTGTTTTATTTATATTTGTGTCCAAAATCAGCTGAATTTTTCACAGCAAAGGCTGTATCAGTGGTATATATTCAACTTTGCATAATTTGCACCAAATCTTTAATACAGGATGGTGCTGATGATAACTTTACATGTTTTGAAAAATTGCATACTTATTAGAATCTACAAACACATGACGTATTGATGTGCAGTTACTTTTAAAAGTATATTGTTAAAACTATGATAATGCTGGCTGCATTCATTTAGCTTAGGAAATATTTACAGCTTTGTTATAGTGGATCTGTCACATTCAAAGATTGCAAAAGTTTTGTGTAGTTCTTTAAGCTGTCTACTGCAACAAAAAATGTGTGGGTGACATTCCATTAGAATGGAATATCTATCTATTTTGAATAGTTTTGCTGCTGCTGCTCAACTTCTGTTTAAGAACAGGTGCTACTAATGAAGAGGCTGCTTCTTAGTGGGCTAACTTGTAGAATTGTTTTAAATTATGTTTTTTAAGGGGTCTTTTAAAGCACTACAAGTAATTCAGATTTTACATTTTTAAACATCTTATTCTGTCCTTCAGCAACCCTTCCATTTTTCTATGAGTTTTTAACCATATAATGCAGGACACCAATAACTGCAAGATGTGCAAACGTGAAAAGTGAGCCATGAGTTAATAAAAATAAATGGCCACTTTCCTGACCAGCTTCCAAGGATGCTAATTAATCTGATAGCTCACACTTAGAATCACAGAGTCACAGAATCTTAGGGGTTGGAAGGGACCTCAAAAGATCATCTAGTCCAACCCCCCTGCCAGAGCAGAATCACCTAGAGCACATCACACAGGAACACATCCAGGTGGGTTTTGAATGTCTCTGGTGAAGGAGACTCCACAACCTGTCTGGGCAGCCTGTCCCAGGGCTCTGTCACTCTCACAGTAAAGAAGTTTTCTCTGATGTTTACATGGAACCTGCTATGTTCCAGTTTGCACCCACTGCCCTTGTCCTATCACTGGACATCACTGAAAAAAGCCTGGCTCCGTCCTCCAGACACTCACCCTTAACATATTTGTAAGCATTGATGAGGTCGCCCCTCAGTCTCCAAGCTAAAGAGACCCAGCTCCCTCAGCCTCTCCTCATAAGGGAGATGTTCCACTCCCTTAATCATCTTTGTGGCTCTGTGCTGCTCTTTCAAGCAGTTCCCTGTCCTTCTGGAACTGAGGGGCCCAGAACTGGACACAATACTCCAGATGCAGCCTCACCAAGGCAGAATAGAGGGGGAGGAGAACCTCCCTTGACCTACTAACCACACCCTTTCTAATGCACCCCAGGATGCCATTGGCCTTCTTGGCTACAAGGCACATTGCTGGCTCATGGTCATCCTCCTGTCCACCAGGACCCCCAGTTCCCTTTCTCCTACACTGCTCCCCAGCAGGTCAGCCCCCAACCTGTACTGGTACATGGGGTTATTCTTTCCCAGATGCAAGACTCAACTCTTGCCCTTGTTGAATTTCATCAAGTTTCTCCCTGCCCAACTCTCCAGCCTGTCTAGGTTTTGCTGAATGGCAGCACAGCCTTCTGGTGTGTCAGTCATTTCTCCCGGTTTAGTGGCATCAGCAACCTTACTGAGGGCGCATTCTGTTCCCTCATCCCGGTCGTTGATGAAAGTATTGAATAGTACTGGTCCCAATACTGACCCCTGAGGGACTCCTCTAGTCACAGACCTCCAACTAAATTCTGTCGCATTGACCACTACTCTCTGACTTCTTCCTTTCAACCAGTTCATAATCTGATGAAGCAGTCATTCACCTCATTTGCTTAGTAAGCCAAAAGAACAATCACAAGTTTTCACCCCAGTCACCATCAAGGGAATTTATGCTTCACTTCGAAAATGGAATGCCTTGGTATTGCAGAAACACTGGATGAGTGTTGCATTGTGCTACCACTACTGTTCGCCTCCCTTGAGACACCCTCCAGAGCCTTCTTAAGTACTGTATTTTTTTCACACCACTGCCACTTAAGAATACGGAGGGTATCTGCACCTGAGAGAACATGGATTATTTTAGTAATTCGAGTTTCAAATATTAAAAAAAAAAAGTTGCCTGCTAAAAATCTCCATTGCCAAAAACTGTTGAAAGGATAAGCTCTGAAAGGGATAAGTATAGCATGTCCTGGGTGTGCTAGAAGCAATGCCTCGTTGCAATTGGCTATTTAAGTTAATAGCTGAAACCATGCAGGTAAGAAGGCAGGGGCAGTGCTCACTCAGTGCAGCTCCTCATTCTCTCCTAGACTATTTCCACGTGAAAGAGAACTGCTATCAGACACCTCCCAGCTCCATTGCTGGGGGTGCAGGGAATGGCTTAGCAGTCCCCTTACTGATTAAGTAGAGCAGATCAGATCTGTTCTCTGGCTCATTGAGAGGGGTGTTTTGCTCTAAGTCCTTTTCTGATTAAAGGTTTCTGAGAGCCAGATACATATTACATAGTCTGGAACTATCTACACAACCCTGTCCCACCAAACTCTGAGGAAAAGCCCACCCAGCCAAGTAGGAGGTAGAAGGAAGAATCAGCCCATCCCAAGAAGATAAATAGCACAACACACACAGACCAAAAAACCCAAACAAACAAACAAACAAAAAATCCAACCAAACCACCCACAAAAAAACCTCAAAACCAAAACAGAATCCCAAACCCAACACCAATCCTAAGTAATTTCATAAAGTGTGAGGATGTTTGCTTATCTCTATAGAAGAAGGGATTCAGCATCAATGGAAAGCTTTATATACCTTCCCAGTTACACAGGTACTCCAGGCTTAGCTGAGTGCTGTCAGCCAACCCTGTCAAATGATGCTTCATGCCCGTGCCCATCACCCAGTGCTGTGGAAGAGTGTTGGACTTTCAGGAAATGACCACACTTTTCTTGCTAATAATAAAAGATGACTCCATCATACATTTGATGATTGGGAGGAAGTATTCTGTAGATTAAATGTAAGAATCTAGGTAGTAGGGTTGCAGCATATTGTGTATGTTAAAGGCACACTTTAAGGTACATTAGCTGGGAAAAATAAGTATAGATGCCAGGGAAAAAAAAAAAAAAAAAAAAAAGAATAATTTTGTAGAAATACGTTCTCAGATGCTAATATTTTCAAGTCAAGATTTTTTTGTTTTTAAAATACTAACTCTTTAGTCCTTGGTATTTAATATCAATTTTTGTACAAGGAATTACAAACACTTGGATTGTCATGAGCAAAACCCTTTGGATTTAGTTTAGTCTAGGTACATGATAATGCAGGTAGGATTAGCTTTAAAGGAACGGGTAAGACACAATCACTGTTGGCCCATCAATGCAGGGAAATAAGATGCAATCATTTGTTAGTATGTAAGTGCAGGGGAAAAGAACATAAGTAGATGAACCTGAAAATAATGGAAAATTGAAATGGAGAATTATGGCAATAAAGCAAAGATTAGAAAATGTTCCCTCTGGCAATTTAGCTGTTTTGGAAACAGCAGGATTCCTGGTGGGAGTGTTTGTTCTTTATTCCTTGGTTTTAGTCAGATATATATTCGCATATGTGTTGCTTTTATTACTCTAAAACTTGCTGTACTATTTCAAGTGCAGTGCGATATTTTTCCTAAGGTTTCCTATTTCTTAACAAAAGATTTTAAAGCTCTTGTGTAATCATTGAAATTGTGTTCTTTACATAAATATTGATATATTCTTTTTTACTCAAAGTGCCAAAGGCTACTGTTTTTAATAATGGCTTATCAAATTATATTACTTTAGTGAGCAGAAATGTAATAATATATACATTGGAACTCAGACCTCTGCATGTATATTTGATAAGAAGCCTTTTGTAAAATTACTCTCTGTTTACATTCCACTGATACCTTAATTTAAAATTAATCAAATAAATTGACAGGTGACATCTTCTTAGTGTTCTGATTTTCTTACTTGCTAACAGGCACGAATTTCTTTGTTAGGCTGTGCTTTACTGAGAAAAGAAAATACTCAAAAATAAAATATGTTTTTAAATGAGAATTCTCTATATAAAGTATTGTGTTTAATAAAATGTTATGCAATGTTTTCAGATGGAAAAAATTTGTAATTGCTATAAATGTATTTTGTTAAATAAGTACAGATCAATGCTACTGTGTGAGTTTATTGTGCTAACATCATGAAAATAAAGATTAAAATTCCTCAGTCAGATGTTCAGTCGTGTCTGTGGTGAAGTCTCATTACCTTTCAAATTATTTTTCAATCTTAGGTATCTCATGACAATTAAAAGTGGTCATCCCTGGGAAACCTCAAAACCTTGCATAGGTGTAAGAAGTTATGAGGAATAGTGTCCAAACAATCTTGTCTCTAACCAAAAAACAAGTTATAAAAAAAAAAAAAGAGAGTAAACGATTTGGGAGTTTTGGGCCATGAGAGGACACATCTGCTAGATCATTCTGCAGGACCAGCTGCATTGCTAAGCCCCTAATGCCTCTAAACCACCTTGCAAATGTTGGGTAGAGCTGCTAGAGGTGATTTGTGAATGGGGTGAATTGGATTTGTGAATGAGAACAGAGCAGATGTCAGGAACAAACCTGAGAGGAAGTGCTCTTCCCAGGGGAAGAAGTTATGATACAGGAATTAGCAGGTGACATATACCCTTTGCTGGCAACAGTTGTTTGGACTAAATGATCTTCAGAGGTCACTACCAACCCCTGCCATTCTTCGATTGTGTGAAAAACTACATGCATAGCAGCACGCTGTCAAAACCTCTGTCTTACCTAGAAGCCACTCAGGGTAGTGGAACTCCAGCTGCACACATGAGCATACACACACACACCTAGCACAAAGGCAATGTGTTTAAGCCAGGATTTAGAAAGAGAAGGCTAAACAGACAATTTAAATTGAAGAACAAATTGTGACAAGGCTGCAAATAATCCCTTTAAATTGTTTCTGTGTTGCCTGCAGTAATCTCTTCAGGCGTTCCAGATATGCATAAAGACATCACTTGGTTATACTTTCCACAGAAGAAATGTGTTCCTCCACTGATTTGCCATAAAGGATAGTAAGAAACTTGCACATTCCATGGCTTCCCTAGCATAGCCCTGATAAAAAAAAAACAAGCCAAGATGAGAAGTCATCCAGATCTCAAGCAAGTCTTCTCAGACCAAGAAAGCACCTCTTATGTCTGAGAGGAGGGGAAAATAAATGAATTTTTTTTTTTCCTTTACCAGGAAATTTTCCCTACTCTCAAAAGCCAACT